TAGACGGGTGGGTGGTGAACGGAAAAAAAGTATTTCGAAACGAACTCAGGTCCGCAGCGACCTGGGTGCACAACTATTGTCGTCACTATTTGTTCTATGTTCGTTCCAACGTTCCGACTTTGTGCAAGCTGCGGGTCGTGGGTGCTTGTTAGGTGCAGTATGTACCATAGCGTTTGTTTGCCTGTGCCTCACGAAGGGTGAGAGCCAGGGAGGAGGTGAAATACTGCAGTATGAGCAGCCAAGACCCGAGCAGCAGAATAAAACAGCAGCAGCAGCACAGCGGCACAAACGTGGTAGTCGATGACAGCAGTAGAAAAGAGAAAACCAACCAACAGGCGGCGGGTGTTGTTCTGAGTTGAAGAGAGGGCACAGCACATGGGACCGACCGACAGACAGCTAACCTCGCACCATCAATCAGCCGCGCTTCGAGCCACAACGGCGTCCCACCTCTTAGATTGCTACAGGTCTTGAATGGCCTACCCGCTTTACTAAGCGGTTCAGACCTTTCTCGCGGGCGGACGTGTTTGATGTGTTTCTCTAGCGTGCGCAACCACGAGCACAGACGTGTGCGTTTTCGAAACTGCTGTAATACGGAGACCTGTGACCAAGCAAGGTGTTCTTCGCTGTTCTACCCGCTACTGCTGTGCTAGAAAGAAAATAATGTTACAGCTGCTTCAAAGAACATGAAAAGACTCTCCAAGTCGAACAGCCGCCTGGAAATAGAAGAGAAAAGAACACCCGAACAGCCTCCACTGCTAACGACCAGCCAACACAAATGTATTACTGTACACACGGATGCGCCAAGCTTCAACGCTGTGTTCAACAATTATTTGCAGTTTTTGAGATGTAAGGAGCATGATGACGCACGCTTCTCCCGACTTCGAACCTGCACCTATCGTTCTTTTGCTGTACACAACCACCAACGAACCACCGTCCCACTTGGTATGCGTTTGAAGCCTGCAAATTCTATCTCACATTTACCGTTTCGTATGCACTTCCACTCTCAAACTGAGGACAGCGGGGGCGGTAACCCCCCGCGTCCGCCGAACTTGTTATCAGTGCCATTCTATCCGTTCGTGACACCGTCGTTGGTTATGCATACCCAGAAGCACCCGGCGACAACAAACAAACAAAAAGCAAAATTAAACCGGAGGATGCGAGGCAGCCCTGACCACGGTAATACAAGGATATGATATTATGCCTCCGGCACATGACAGCTCAATCTCCCAGCGGGACGAATACATCGCCGCCCACAGCAGAATTCGGCTCGGCGTTCAAATCTCGAGCTGGCGACCGAGGCGTTGTGATTGGAAGATTAGCACGCTTAGGTCGGCAAAGACACCCAAGAAAATTGTGTTTTACGCCATTTTAAACCAATGAACCACACCACAACTTCTTGCTTAAGGACTGCAACAATGTTTCCGTACTTTTTTACTCTTCACCGTCCGAGTTCGTCATAATGATTGTGCAGGTTAGGCCAGAGAGTGTCCTGTCACTTTTTTTTTTTTTTTTTTCCGGCCCGGGCAGCCACTTTCGCCTTGATTGTTTCGCTGGTCGAGGTGCAACCGCCTGAAAATCAGGAACCCAGCTTTCCTGGGCGGTGTCGCCGGGTGTAAGAATGTGTCTTTGTGCAACTTCGAAAATGTTGCCCTCGTACGTTTTACGAAATCCTCGGAAGCAGCGGATACGAGAGACACCCGGTATGATGAGCAGGCACAGTTGCAGCAGCACCACGTATCCGCACAACAAACTGAACCATGCTTTTCTTCTTTCGTCTGTCAGTTCAAAGCTGAAACTAGGGCCCTGACATGTTGTGCCTTCTGCGGCATCGAACGATGCCCCAGCGGCTTCTCGTTGGTTCGATAGGACAAATATCGTTCTTTTACGCTCGGCGTTAGAGGTCAACATAGCCGGTGCCACATGTACAGCAGTCTCCCGTTGAGCGTGGGTCCCAGCCCAAATTGCCGCGAAGTACTGTAGCCAGAAACGAACACCGTGGTTGTGCTTTTGAGTGCTGTTGGTGACAGAAGCGAGGGGGGGGGGGGCGTACTCTTTATGTTTTGCATGCCTTAGCGGTTAGACCATTGACCACGCGTCGTCGAGACGACGGAGCATTGTTCCCACAAGACCGATCACCGATGGCCAATCGTTCCTTCCTACTTTGCCAAAGGTGACTCAAAAATGTCTTCCCTAGCCTATCTATGCTCTCGAGATCACTTCCCGCCTTTTCAACCCACTTCCTATTGCCACAGTACAGCTACCTTCTTATCCTGGCTATTACGTGCCTCAAACATCTCCCTGTACCTTCCTTCTACTTTTACCGGCTCAGTCATATACACGTCCCTCTCCTTGTACACCCGGTATCCCGCCCATGAACACGGTCTTCGCACTCAGAGTCGCAATCACATTTGACTTGTCGTCTTCATCGTCTACCTTCCGAAGTCTTCGGCTACGTTCTCGAAGACCAATGTCCCCGGTTGTGAATGTGACCTTCAGCTTTGTCCCTGCATCCATTGGTCCATGCAGGTACTCCTTGAACATTATTCCTTCTTTCAACATTCCGTACACCTCGAGACCCTTCTTATCCTTGGTTATTTTTCTTAGATTCTGTTCTTTTCTCTCGGCAAAAGCAAGAGATATCTTCTCCTTGAACCCCTTTAGGCCCTGCGTTTCCAACGTATCACCTTCGTCAATTTCGAACCCCTTCCATACGTCATCTACAACCTTGACCCACTCCGTGGGTTGTCTACCCTCTTCTTGTTTCCCACTCCCGCCTCCCAAGCTATTCTCGGCAATCTCTCCTCTCCCACACCGCACATGGGATACTGCCATGTCAACTTCCTTGCGTTTCTTCCCGATCGTGGGGATCGGATCCCCAGTGCCGCTCTGACGGCTGCATTACTTGTGCGCCTGGAGCATCCTCCTGTCGCTGCTTTCATCTGCGCCGCCTCGAGCTCTTTGACTACCGTCTTACTTCCTTCCCATACTTCTCTGGCGTGCTCTAGCGGCCGTACGATTACGCTCTTCAGAACCGTCAATTTGATGCGTGTATCGAGGTGCCTGTTTGCGAGTACAACATTGGGTGCAGCTTCCCTGCTCGTGCTTTGCCCTTTTCCGCCGCCTTGGACATGTGTACATTCCACGAGCAGTCTTCTGCGATTTCTACTCCGAGGGATGTGTACTGGTCCACTACTGCAAGCTCCTCGACCCCCCACTTCCATCTATTTTCTACTGGTTCCTCCTTGTCCTCGTTGCATAGCATGACGGCACTCTTCTCAACGTTCGCAGACAATCTCCACTTATCAGCAAACTCCTTCGCCGCGTCAATTTGCAGTTGCAGTCCCTCAGGGGTGTCAGACATGTCAACAAAATCATCCGCAAACAGCATCCCCGACACCCAGGTTTCCCCTACCTGTACTCCCTTCCCTACTGCCTCTACATACGACCTTCAACAGATCGTTGATGAACACCCGGAACAATGTTGGGGACAATGTGCAACCTTGTGGGACCCCCTGTTCAATGTTGGAAGAATTTAGACAGTTCTGCGTCTAGCATGACCGCGCTTTTCGTACACTATTGTCATTTCTTCAGCACTCTCCACATTTTCCCCTTGATCCCGTAATTGGACAATTGTTTCCACAGCCCATTTCTCCATACCGTATCATATGCCTGTTGCACGTCCAGGAAGAAGTATTCCCCGCCCTCTTTCTACCTTGGATGATTCTCCCTACCATGAATGCGTGGTCTACGCACCCCCTCTTCTTTCGGAAACCTGTCTGGCCCTCACTTGTCCTACGTTCCTTCTCCAATACTCCCACTATCCTATTGGTCAACAGCTTACAGAACAGTGTTCAACAGTGTGATCCCCCTGTAGTTTCCTCTGCAGTTGTTTCTTCTGTTGTCCATCATCAAGCGATAGTCTTTCATCACCTCCTGTGTTTAGGTTTTTGAACGCCCAAGAATCCACTACGGAGGAGGGGTCTTGTAGAGTTGAGAAAACAACAAGCGTCAGTCTGCATGCCCCCCCGCTGCAAATGGTTCGGAAAGGCATGGAATACAGCAGCTCTTGTAGACACATCTCCTTGGTGCTATTTATAACGAGACCAATAGTCGACGTAACGCATGACCCGTCAAAATCCGATCTTACGCTTTGGTCAGCCTCATGCCAACAGTACTCATTGCTTACGAGTCTGGGCCGGTTGGGTCTACGGGAAGAACTACGTTTAGGGGGAAATGGCCGTCTACTTAGAGGCACAGGAAGGTCTCCAGTATGAACGCCGTTGGATATTCTGCTGGACGTAAACGGATACGGAGGAATCGGTTGATTTTGTACAGGTTTGCGCCACGGATGCCTGCTACGATAGATGCTCAATATCCCTTCTGTTAATTACAACCCGTACGCACGACCCTCGTCCTCGGTACCCGTCCCTTGCGTCGTTATCCTGATGTCAGGACGACAAGTCATCAGCTATCCGAGTCCACACACGCCGCGTTTCATCTGTGGGGGAAATAGCGAAAAGGATTACAACGTGGGCTGTATTCTGCAGTTACCTATCTCCTTGCGCGGTAAACGGCGAATGTTTTGGGTGCCCACGACGACGCATACTGCTTCAGGCGTATAGCACTAGAAGCGTATTCGTTCTGACGTCAGTACTCAGCTTGTGTAAAGGACTCTCCCCAGTCCTATTTACGCTCGTTGACGTTGTCAGCTTCGTGATATCTTATTGACCAGAAAAGAACAAAGTCATACGAGGTTGTGGGGTTATTTTTGCTTAGTTTTGCGGAGCTGGCGGACACACACTTGTGAATTGCTGGTTTCCCTATCGAGCTGACGTCTTTTCTGGCGGTGGTGTCGCAATAAACGGTCTAGTCTGACTTGTTCAAAACGATAAGACCGTTAAGGTTTTTGTTAAACCTTGGTTGCTGCTGTACGTGCCGATCGAGTGGGGGATTGGTTGAGTATTATGTCTACTGCAGGCGGTGGCGGTTCTGCAGATACTATGGGGGGTGGGGTAGGAGGAGGAGGGGAGGGCGTGCCGTGGCCAACCGGGGCGGATGGCTACAAACTGGACAGGATTATCGGGAAAGGAGCGTTCGCGACGGTATGGAAAGCGTTTTGCGAAGCCCGCGAGGTACATGTCGCGGTAAAGGTGATGGACCTCGAGAATGTCACCCACAGCTTCGAAGATATTCGTCAAGAGGTGCGTGACAAGATGTGTCTCATGTGGCTTGTTGGTGTTCCTAAACCGTCGTCCTCGGCATGTCCGTGATGCTGCTTGGCATACATCCGTGAAATTTCCTATGCAGTACCGGCTACGATATACTAAGTAAGAGAGGATGTGACAAGCCGAAATCGCTGTCGTTTCACCCTAAGTTTTATACTCCAGAGATTCATTCCGTGGCATTACTTGAAAATAGAGTATGCATAGGAGGAGTTTTTTTTTTCGCTCTTCTTTTTTCTTTCGCATGCTGGACACCATTGTGTGAGACGGAATACGACAGCCGTGGGCTGCCCCCGACCGCCAAAACGTTTGACCAACGGAACATGTAAATGTCACACTTAAGCAATGGTCGTGATCGGATGAGTGTGGTAAGGAATTCTAGACTTGCGATATCTTGCGCAGCGCACGATTACGTACACAGAGCGGCAACCAACGGGTAGTTCTTATAGCAGCTGTACAGCACACACATCTATTGTGACGTGTGTACACGGCAGATCAATGTGGACCTTAGTTCAAGCACCTCTCACATGTGTTATGAGGATTTGGACGCTAGGTCGGGCGCCGGTGAGTTGGCGAGTTGGGGTTTGGTCAGTCCGTGACAACATGCGTGACAGCCACGTGTGCATACCAGCACCGAAGCCAAGGAACACAGACAGAATTGGCAGCACAGAGAACTGCTGTGTCTCCGCAACGTAAACAGCAGCCAACACCCTCCACACGTCTTGTATATGTGGGCTCTGCAGGAGGCCACCACACAATTCCAGGATGTCGTTAACCCGGCCATACAACGGGTACGGAAGGCCGTCAAGCCATGAAGAAGCACACTCATCGTTTGCAGCACTGCTGCTGTAGCGGAGAGAAACCGCGGTCATGACGCAATACGCCGTGCCTAGCCTTTCCATTCTAACGCGAAATCCCTACAACAGCTACATTTTGCACTCAATAACTTGCTTCGACGAACGCCATACCCAACATGGACGCACGTTTACTCTCAGCCGGTGTGCTGTACGCAAGCCGCTTACTCAGCGGACCCGCGCAGATTTTTTCACGAATTTTCTTCACACGGAACCAACGGAACCGCAAAAATGGTGTTGTGGTCATTTGTGTTGTAAATGGGCTAACCGCCATACGAATAGGAAATTGTTGTTTCTCGACACCAAGCCACACAAGCTTCAATTCAATCTGTAGACAGTCAGAGAACTGTACATTGGTTGCTGCGTATCACCGTTACTTTCATCGCCACTCACCACGGCGTTAGCGTCAAGCGAACCCAGTTTCCAAAAATGCTGTTGTTCGGTATGACTGCTCACCGTGTCCAAGGGCATACGGTCCGGATGCATACTTGTTTCGATTTGACGTTGGATCCCTTTACTCATGGCAATTTGTATTCTGGAACTCGCGGGTACGTAAGTAAGTCTGAGGACATGATTCTTTTAACTGAGATAGACAAGGCGCATACATTGCGCCTTTCGTTGCCTCAGTGTGGGCGGTCCGACCTTCACGAACACTTAATCATGCACTCTTTCGCGCCACTCGTAGCCACAGAATACGGTCAACTTTGCCCAGCCCTGCATAATCAATGTCGCCGTTTGCGTGCTTCTCATCTTGCGTGTCATTCGGGCTCCAGTGGGCGAGGGAGCCTGTAGTTGCCTGCAAAACTACAGTACGTAGTAGACGCATAGTTAGGGTTCAACTGCAAAAGAGGGATCAAAGAGCATTCTTGCAAACAAACTTCAAGATGTCCGTCTTCATATTTCACGTTGTGATTGTCTCTCATTTTCTGTCCTTTTGGTTTGTTTTGGGTCGCGTTGGACCCTTTGGGCGTGAGTAGCTACGTACAATGTCTCGTGTTGTGTTCGTTTCACATCATTCAGTGATTTTTTCGAACTTGGGATCCTTGGGCTCTCTCGATCAGAGTTGAAAGTCGGGGTCCAATTCTTCTTTCTTGCATACGTAGCTTTTCCTTCGAGTTATCTCTCTCTTGGCGAAGTTTGTTGCATGTTGCGTTAGTTCCCCCGCATGGGCATCTTTGGAAGAAATAGCTGGTGGGCACGTGTTCGCTAGCCTTTCGAGTGGTGTTGCGGCACTACTCGGCGTAGATGTTTCAGTCATTTTTCGCGGTATTGTTTGGTTTGTTCTTCTGCATGTTTTTTTCGGATCCTGCAGCCTCCACGCCGTTGTCGGATGCTTCTTACAGTAATTAAATTTAGCGCTCCACAATAAAATCTCTTTTGGGGCAAGCCTTCATCAACTTCACAAACAGGTACCCGTGCGTTCTCATTACACATTACGCGGTGCCGTGCCTTTCCACTCTCATCGACGCACGGCAACAAATTCTCATCAGCTTTCCAGCTTCTTCGCCGTCTTCATTTTTATCTCCTTTTTCACCGTCGTCGATTACTCTCGCTTACGAGTCGGGCCCCCGCCCCCACTGGGGGCGCGCGGGCCGTTCAGTACCTTACTACTCGATGTATCCGACGTTCTCTTGTTCCGTTTCAAGAGAAAAGTCTCTTGTATCGTACATGTAGCCAAAATCTCAAGGGCCGTTTGGAGCAGTGCTCATTGCAAAATTGATTTCAGACCGCATTCAACATCATATGGACGTCATGCTGCGACGCCATGGCATTCTATTCACTCAAAACACAGTTCGACCTGTTTTATTTTGCACATGCACACCTAAAAACCATATAGTATCAAAAGCTCTGCAAACGTATGTTGCATGCTGTCTGGTACGCGCTGCGTGTACCACCGGTGCCCTCCCCGCAAAATATTTTCAACGGTTTGGACGTCAGGGACTGTGGTGCATACACCCTCCCTTACCTCTAATAACATGCAAACCCCAACATGTACGTCACCTACACGTCGCACACACAAATGTCCAGCAATTATTCAACTTGTTGGGCCGACCAAACCCTGACATGTGCGGTTTATATATGTACTTCGGATTTACCACATCATTATCCACCTCACACCTACCTGCAGCACCGCATACCACCTCGAAAAAAACTCCAAAAATAAACTCGCAGAGGACCAGCACCAGCACGGTTGCCCGAGGCAAGCTGCGATACAATGTTGAAACTGCCTGGCGCAATTCCTCCCACCCTATTGATGTTTACCGATAATCATTCAGCACTTTTGCGTGGCCATAAAAGAAAAATTCTCTCATACACGTGTCATTTGCTTCTCTCGACCCGTGCTTGCTCACCCAAGCGATCTTGGCTGTATGAAGAGGGTAGGAGACGTTGGGCATGCCGCCGCATTTTTCAGTTTATGTGTGGATCTATGTTTTCAGGGCTCGATTTAGGAAAATATGATAATACCTCCGGAATGTGCCGAACTTTCTCTTGTATCGATTCTCTTACATTGTGGTAGCCGGTACTGTATTTTCACCTCCGTAGTAGAATCTTGGGTGTGGCATCACCGCTGGTACAGGTCCTCCGCAAAGTACGATCTGCCATTGCGTGCCTTTGCATGGAGCGAAAAACGTAATGATTGTTTCGAATGCATAGACCCCTTGGGCTCCCTTGGGCTCCTCTGATATTGGTTGTAGGGCAGTATCTAGAAGATTGAGATGATGGTCAGTCCAGCTACATAGAGAGGCCCAGTTTCGCATACGAATCGCAACAGCTGTTCATAAAACAGCCGAAGGAAGTGTCGCTATGTATGTGAAGCCGCCAGCCAGCAGCCACAGGCTGCTGATCGTGAAATCTGGCTATGCGCGCCCATGCCTAGCACCCTTGATTCCGCCCTGATGACACACAGATTTGACGTGAACGTATCTGGTTTCCCGTAGGATTTGCGCGAGCGTTGTCGTGTTATGGGCGGGAGATATAAACGTAATGCCTCATTGCACGCAAGAACCTGCCTGTGCGAAGCTCCTGTTTCAGTCTGGGTCTCGAAACGCTCATAGCGCCCATGATGCACGTCTTTTCCACGGATTGACTCATCGAAACGATCAGATTATCACACCATGGTGTGGAGCAACGACTTCACTTACATGTGATGTTTTGTTTTGCCCGGACGTGTAATCATGCATGCGAGATGGCAAGCCTGCTCCCAACATGTAGGCGGAGGCATGGAGGATAGCTGTGTCATCTACGCACTTGCCGTACAAGGAATGGATGTAGGCACAACAAATCATCTCCTTGAACACATCATGGTCCTATTTTTCGTTGTTTGTGCGGCAGGTGGCGGTGATGCGTATGTGCGACCACCCGAATGTGCTGAGCTGCTACGCATCGTTCGTACATGAAAATGAGCTGTGGCTGGTAATGGAGTTCATGAGCAAAGGATCGTGCTTGCACGTGATGAACGTCGCTAAAAAGGAGGTAACGAGCAATGAGGAGCCAGGAGGCAATACAGATTTTGAGGATGTTTTAGTTGCGTAATGCTTCAACACCTACCCCGTCCACGACGAAACACCGCTCCCCCTCTGACAGAGGCACCGTAAACGTGCGGGGTTCATTGTGTTCCCACCATATTTACCAGCAACTTGCTTGTCCATCTCCTTTATATGCATATTGATACGGTTAGGTTGGCAGTTCGATTCCCCGCGAGGTGTGGTACCTATCAATGGAGAGCGGTTGCTTGAGAGTATACTGGCGGACCTCCCCCGCTTCTTTTATATCTTTTCCACAATTCGCTCACAACACACTAAATCATACATGCGACTGTCGAGTGAAGGGTTTGAGACGGAACGGGTGTCATCCTTCTTAATTACGCAAGACTACCGGTGCGTTCATTGTGTGCGCAACCTGGAGTGCCCGTTCGACGTTCTGTCATGAAGGTTCGCCAGCAGAGAAATGTGCCCGGTAGTCGTCTGCGACAGAAACGAAAATCCTTTGACCTTCACATGAAAGAGGGAGCAGAATTGGAGAGGGTGTCGCCGGGATGATCCGATGTTTCGATGTTCAGCACGACCTAGATCGTGTTGAAGGCCCAGCAGCCACTGGAGCTCCGTTCAAAATGAAACCGTATGGATGTCGGGAGAGGATTACGTGTGGAAGGATAACAGATTGGAAGCTTCTGCTTTTCGGAGTTCCGAGCAAACACCCCTCGCAACGCCACTTGTATAGACTTCAATATTGTGCTTGGAACGATGGTTGATGACATGGTATCAGTTTGACGGGTTTACACTTTTGTACCCTGTCTTCGCCGACCTGAGCGTGTCAATTCACCCGGTCAAATCGGCAGATCCCGCATGAAAGCTGCTGTGCGAAATTCGCTAAAATCGTTGACAGATCAAGAGTGCTGAATTCTGGGTGGTGCCGTCTACATGATTGAGTTTGGATCTTGGGGTGGTCGTCAGTAAAGGTTCAAAGCATCAATATGGAACAGGGTACCAGAGCATCTCTTGCCATCTAAGATTGGTCTTCTTGAGCATAAAATTTAGGGCGCACGGGAATTCGCAGGTCTCCTCCAAAAAAAAAAAGGAAACGCCTGTATATATCTTAATTTTCCAAAGCCTAACTCAAGTACGAAACTACCATCGCACATTAACGTCCGCTGACCCCCCTCGGGTACATTGTTAGTACCTGAGATTGTAGCCCTTGCGATACAGCGACGAGTTCGGTGAGCTACAAGTAGGATTCGATGCTGCTGTGCGGTCCGATTTTGAAACGCTTCAAATACATAATGGCCGCGAATCAGCGCCTATGTGAGTAGGGCTGCGAACTTCACGCAACTCGCACATATCCTACTTGTCGCCACAGTCTGTTTGAATGCCTGAGGTCATGCATATGTAGGTTTAGCCAATGGTAAAGGTGCTTGGAGCGTTTCCAAATCGGGCCCCACCGCAGCTTCAAAATCCTGCTTGTAGCTCACTGATCTCGATGATGGAAGGATCGTTTTGAAATTGCGGACCGCTAATCTTTAATGTATCACAAGGGCTACAATCTCAGACACTCTAACATTGTACACGAAGGGGGGGTCAGCGGACGGTTCGTTTGCGGTGGGAGTTTTGCACTGGAGTAGACTATGGAAAACTAAAATATGCAGGCATTTCCTGGATTTTTGAAGAGATGCGCGAACTCCAGCGCGCCCTTCACACCCTCGAATGGATTTTCTGAGGATGAAGATGTCAATGACCCTGGGTTGCAGTCTTCTGGATCTTATCGTAGACGAGGCTTCCCTCGTGTCGAATGCGGGGCCACACCCTAGAGAACCCTTCTGCGGTACATACCGTTATTTTCACGCGAAAGTGTTCAACAAGTCTTACCAAGCGTCCTCACGGGGTTCGAATGCTACGGAAGACAATTCTCGCCGGGGGTCAAACTTGACCACCTAAGCGACGGATTCCGTGTGCTCGAAACGCAATGTTCATTATTGTTTCAGTGCCAAGTGCCGCAAGGCAAGTGTTTGCAAACTTCCGTTCCCAGTTTCACTGATTAGTAAAGTCAGCGCCACGCCCGAAAACATCGTTTGCGGTACATAATTACACCAATATTTGTGTCGGAGGAACTTACTCGATGCATACCACATCAAAGCACACAAGTTGGATCCTGAAGCTCCACATGCGTTGTTCTGTTGCCATTAAATGGCGTCCCCCGTCCATATAGACGGAAGTCTCGATTTTAACAGCGTTAGGTATTGACCAACAGGACACGCGCGTGCAGAGATTCAGGGTCCGGCCCAAAGCCCCGCGTAAAAACTTGCTGATGAGTATGCATACATTGTGAGATTTTAACCGAAGCCCGCGTATCACAGCGACCCCAAGTCCGTCACCGTTGCGTCTGAGATGTTCCGAGCATAACGCTGCGAAACTCGCCCAAGAGAGGTACCCCTTTTTCTTGAACGGCGGACACGTTCTATTTTCCTCTGATGACGCTATAACCTAGGGGAAGGGAGACGGCATGAGGGAGGAGTGCATTGCGTATGTCTTGAAGCAGACGCTGCAGGGACTCAAGTACTTTCACGATCAGGGACAGGTAACGAGGTCGGCTGCTTTGATGGGGCAGAGTGGCGTTTGTTGTTTCGGCTGGGTGTGACTTTTGCTCGTCAGTTGTTGTTGGATACGTTGCTGTTGTGTCTCCTGCAGTTTCATCCTCACGTCATCGGGGATGCCGCAAACTTGTTGGTGGTTTGCCTACAAGTGTCGTCATTGTGTCATTGCACATCCATGGAGCACCGCATCCCTATACAGAGGTTGAATGCAGCTGAATCCTCTTTTGGACCCCACGCCGGGATGTTTGTTGACGAGTACACTCGTGGCGAAACAAATTTGGCCCGGATTTTTTTCGAACGGTAGTTGGCGATGTGATACTCGTACGGCGACGTTTTCTTCTGGAACTGCTGCAAGACAACCTAGCCGGTTTGTTACCTCGAATTGTCCCAATTTTCTGCACTGTGCGCGAGCTTCACTTGGTCAGCAAATGTGGCATTCCTTCTATGGCATATAGATCCATCGAGACATCAAGGCTGGTAACATCCTTCTGGGAGAGGACGGGCGAGTGAAGCTAGCCGATTTCGGGGTTGCCGGATGGCTTGTTGGTTACGGGAACCGCCGAAACGTCGCCAAAACCTTCGTAGGGACACCATGCTGGATGGCGCCGGAGGTCATGGAACAGGTGCGTATTAGCTTTGTTGTTTAGGGATATCATGGCTTATAGGGAGAGCAGAGTTGGAACCCGCTATTTGTTCTTGCTTCCCACATCGTCAAGAAGAAATATGATGGAGACAGAAATTGCGCGAAGGGTTGGCGTTTGCTACTTTCATCTACACCAGTACCGCCCTTTTTTCTTGACATTTGCAACTAGAAGGCACCTGACGTCGATTTCGGAAACACGTTGTGCCGGACTTCGCAGGTCGATGGGTACAACCAGAAGGCGGATATTTGGAGCGTCGGCATCACAGCACTCGAGCTGGCTAAAGGACACGCGCCCTACGCAAGGCTTGAACCCATGAAGGTACGTACACAAATGTAATTTTCGACTAGGAACACTTCGAGTGTTTGGGTGCCACGGTATGCAACAGATCCGTGAAATGCAAATTATGGTGACGATTCAGGTTCTTTCCGCCCGTGGCCATGCCCGGCCGTATTTTTTTATCTTTCGCTGAACATGGGGGGTAATGTAAGATACTGAAATCCAGCATAGTTTTGTGGAGGAATCGTTTTGGAAGGAACCAGGGCAGGGTAAATGTGAGTGTTTTGGCGAGGAATCGAGACGCGTTAGGGTGATGGGTTCGGCCCTATTTGACGACATTAATCGCCACACACATGGTATGTGGCGGTCCCGCGTTGCTCGCCGCATGTGCTAGAACGTGGGAGACACGAAGAAACATCGACGAATCCGCTAAAGTAGAGCAGGTACACTTCATGTGAAATAGGTAACAGTCCATTGTTTGGAGCATAATATCGGTCGCGTTGGAAACTGATGTTCGCAGAACTGCCAATCTGTTTTGCAGCAGCAACAGTCGACATGTTCAGAACACCTTTCGACCGCTGCACTCAAAGACAGCGCCAAAACGTCAGCGGCTACTTTTTGCAACAACCGCCGCCAGATATCCCACGCCCAGAGACTGTTGCATATTATATTCCTTGCGAAATGCCACATCAAGCAATGTGACGAACAGGTGCTGCTGGAGCCTGTTCGAACATCAAAGTGGGGCTGGCGTTCTCCATCTTAAACCCAATGCTGGTATTGTTAAATCTCCGGCTTCTCATCATCACGTCTTCCATGACTCTCGCGCTCGGGTCTCTGCTTCGCGAGGCACGGACAGTTTCGTTTTAACTTAAAGAAAGCATGGTATGGTGCATAATCCTCCCGCCCAAAATTCTCCTGTGACCTTCGGGGTTCGAACTCGGATGCACGTTTCCTCCCATTTTTCAATCTTCATGTTTTCGTGTTTTCCCCTTTCTGCGAGTTGTTTCATATCCTTGTGTATGTGTCGTACCTGTGTTTTACAACTTTCACACCAAGGACCTACTCTGCCGGAATCAGGCACAGACCCGTGTCGACATCGATTGTAAATTCCCTCTTGTGACTCCTGGGAGCTGTGCCTCGTGCTTGTATGCACCGTTTCGGTTTGCATGTGTCTAAGAAGTTTGCTACTTCAATCATATTTTCGAGATACACTTGACTTCGCTATCGAAGAACTACCCGCTGACATCCTGGGTCACTCCGGAATGTACAGGAATGTTAACGCGCCAGCAAGACACACACGTTCCCACACCCCAATTGGCAACACGGTACACTTACGAATGTCTGCATTAGACTTTGTTTTTCGCCGGTCTTGGCCCACTGGAGTGCGCCAGACTCTCGATCGCGACGCCCCTGTCGCGAGTTCGAGACTCCAAAGGCGAGTCGAGTTACAACACTGTGATACATACAAACCACTTTCAGTCATTGGGCTAGACGTTGTGGGGCGGTGGATCGGTTTTAATCGGTTT